TTATATCTATTGTCTTAGACGGATATTTTTTAAAGCTGATTGGGTAGCTGTCGAACCACAACAACAGACAAAAATAAGTCATATCTTAACCAGATTGGCCCTGCTGCAATAAAGATAGGTGTCATGGAAAAGATTCGGGGACAGTTTTTGTTGGCCTCTTTTGTACTTGAAGATCATTGCCGCATCGTAGCCCTGTCTATGAATCTAGTTGCCAGGCTGCAATCACTTAGCCTTGAATTACTTATATCTTGAAATGGGAGGTGGTTTGTTGCTGTTTCTCCGCAAGTCAATTTTACATGCGGGCTGGTGCTGCCCAGATTCGGATGCAGTTATTCAAATTTGTAGTCTATTGTGGCAAAGAAACAGGGCATTAAGATAGCGGTTGAATTTGGCATTAAGGCTCAGACGTGTGTGTGTGTGTTCGACCATCGATTTCGATTAAGTTCACCATATGCACCAAGAGATTTGTACAGTGATTGTGAATTGTTACAGGGGAAGGTTATGATAGTATCGGACGTAGTTGGCGCCAACCGCACTTTTCGTCTTCACCATGGGTCAAGAAGACCAAACGCGGCCCGACATTGGCCGCTTTCTCCAATGCAAGCCAGAAAACACCGCTTAACTAAGCATCATCTAACGCCAACATCTTACGCCAACATCGGGGAACCAGATGGCCGAAAAATCATCACGTCCAATTCCACCACGAGTGATAAAAGTTCAGCAAGTCAGAGCCTGCATACCGGTAATGAAGCAGTCAACACACAAGAGGGCAATTATCGTTAATTGTCGCTATCGTACATGTGCAGTAATGACTATGTTCTATAAATACTGCAATGTCGCAGCGTTCGAAAACATCTGCCGATTCGCACATTTTAGAGTCCTACTGATCCCCCCTCTGTCCATTCACGCGTATACAGCTGCCTTATGTAGCGATGGGGGAAATTGTCAAACATTATTTAAACGTTTGATGCAGTTATCGCATCACTTGGACTACCAACCACCTATGCACTTTCTCACAGTTCTTCTTTGCCACTTTTTGGTAATGCTCATTTAGATTAATATAAACTACCGAATCTGTAGTTAACATATTTAACTGTTACGAAT